GGAAGGAAATTTGTGATGTGTGAAAATTGCCCTTTTTGTAGATTTTCTGAAATTCCGCTCCATAGAATTTTTTAAAAATCTTTGTGCATTTTCCTTTTCAAGTGCCAAAAGCAATCACTGAAAAGAATCAGGGGTCACCGTGTTAGTTTTCGAATTATTTAAGCCACAAGCTAAAAAATGCATCTGAATAAGCCTATGAAAGCGTTGCCATGGAAACTGCTAGTGACGAATTGACACTTATTTTTGGATAACCAATGATTAAGTAATTCAACCCTGTAAAAGTGTTGAACTGGCCTTGGTCAGTCTTTCTGTTGTATTCTTTCAAAGTTACAAACCATCAAAAAGACGAAAACCAGTACAAGCCACCTTAAGTTGTGGATTCATGATATTTGAAGTTTCTTTTAAATAAAGACATGTATGTTGTTTTTGGTTTTTTAATGACATCGTAAACAGATGCTAGTGTTCATTATAAGAAGAAGAGGAAGTCCATGTATGCCATTCACTTCAATGTCACAGAGTTGCACTCTATCAGACGTTCTGACCCAAAGTTGGCCTGGTCTTATGCTGTATTTATGTTAAAAAATGGCACCACTCAACCTGCACTCCATTTTCACTCTGGGGGTATAAGTGAGATGATTCGTCGCCTTCAGAGATATATTTGGATTACAAGGTACTGTAAGAAGTTTTTTCTTTCACTACTTTGGACTCTCTTACATTTTCTGTGTTTTATTTCTTCCTTTAACAGGGCTAAACACTAACTTTTCAACTTACTAGCCAAGTGGCTAGTGATATGATGATACAACAATTTCAGTTTGTTTACTGGCCAAACTGGCTAATGGAAATTGAAAACCACCAGCCAAAACTGAATTTCTACTAGTCTGTGGCTAGCAGGCTACCATTAGTGTCAAGCCCTGATTTAATCTTCTTTTTCTTAATAAGTAGATTGTTTAGAGTTCATTCTATTGGTTTGTTTTTTAGAGGTTGGACTACCTTAAGTTATTTGACTTAGTCCTTTTATGTCTGTGTATTTTCAATCTTGCCTTTCTCCCTGCCTTTATGACTTTAGATCTCCACATAATTACAAGTTGTATGTTGTAGCAGAGGAACACAGTGCACTAAAGGAATCTCTTGATCATCTTCAGCTGTTCTCAGAAGATAATCTACACCGTGGAGGACCAGTAAGGCTTGGTTTTACTGCTACATGTATATATGCACTATTAACCAAACATGAGGTCAAGATGGCTGGATATTGGCCGAGTTCTTTTTTTGCATTTTTATGGACAGAGATGAAGTCAAGTCCATAACGATGCAAAAAAAGAACAAGGCTAATATCCAGCCTTATAATGCACTCATTAATTTTGGCACAATTTTATTGGTTACTCTACGTCACGTGGTGCAAAATCACAGGACAGTAACATCACGCAATAACCCCCGTGTGCGTCGATATTTGTTCTCTGATTTTTTTACCTGAAAAAGAAACATAGTCAACACGAGTTTCAACTTTTCCGTTCTCCTATTTACATGGAAGGAAACCAAACTGGTTTTTTTTCAGTCTAACGATAGTGACATTAAGGAGCTGGTCGCAAAAGCTGTTCCGGAAAGTACAAAAAAAACAACAAAATATACTGTCAATGTCGTTGAAGGTGAAGAAAGTTGCGAGTAGACTTTTAAAATGTAGTCCTATGCAAATTTGAATTTAGTCATTTTGTAAAATAGATAATTAAAACACAGTGACAATTGAAATGATTTGATTTTTTCCTGAGTCCTGATAAACATTTTTTTTTAGCCAAGTTTTTGAACAGCACACTGGAAAAATAATGTGAACCAAAAGCGCCAAGTTTTCGAGTTTTTGATCTAAGGGGCGTTATGACAGTTAATTTCAAATGACAGCTTGTCAAGTTTTGGTCCAATCACACTGAAAATAAAATTATTTAAACCAATCAAATGTACTTGCTTGCTTACGTCAATCACATGCATTCACCATCAGATCACCACTGGCTTTTTTACTGTGTTTACACGCAGTTTAATTGCGATGTGAAAATTAATGGGAGGGTTATAAAATAAATAAACCCTGTTCTGGCTTGCTAGTATGTTGGCTGATAATGTCCTTGGCTGGGAGATTGTCCTCAAAATTTCATATTTGCCCTCGCAGCTTCGCTTCTCAGCCAAATATTCATTTTTCGGACAATCTCTGCGCTGTGGACATTATCAGCTGACATACCAGCTGCCCGAAGGGGTTTATAATATCCAGCTATATCCAGCCATGTTGATGGAACAAGCTAGGTTAATAAAGGATTTATCGCAAAAAAGATTTTGTTTTATTAACAAGTAAGAATGACTTATGTACTTTGAGAGCCAGGAAAGAAAGCCAATGATGTTTGTAGCAGAACAAACTCACAAGAGTCCTTTCTGTTTTCTTTGTTTTGACTATCTTCTGCCACTTTTTGTGTTTCCATCGCCAAAACTGTCCAAGAATTACAAACGTAGTTAGAATTTTTTTTTTTCATGTGTGGGATCAATGATGGGCCCATTTGGGTAGCAATCAGAACACAGGATTTGCTTCATCTTGCCCATGGGCCTGGCGAGCGGTGTAATATTACATGTTATTGTAGTTATAAAACTACAGTGTACTGCAAAATATTGAAGAATTTCAATGAAATGAAACTATTCAAATCTGTGAGCCTGAAGTTAGATGTGCCTCTCCAACACTGATACACTTATACTTCAGTACTTATCTCTCTGCTACTTACAAACCTCACTTGTATTGATTTTCATAGTAGAAAAATTAAATGGTCAGTGTCGTCAGTATCAGAGAAACTCCCCACCTACCCCTCCTCAACTGTAACATCAGCCAACTGATAGCAAGTTAGGGGTTACATGTTGGGTGAAAGGAGGGAAGGCCCAGGGTGGGCAGTTCAAATATTGACACTGATCTTAATAAACATGCTCCAACATGGCTGATTTTATAAAGGGATCTAATTTAAGCAATTATTAGCAAGTAATTATAGAAGTCACATGAATTTGATTCATTTTGTAGAGAACTGGCAGAGTGCAGATCAGGCCCTGAAATCAGGTCTCACTTAAAGCACTTAATCGTCCTTGTCTTCATCCTTCTCAATAATTCAGTTGTCCTCATTTTGCTTTGGCTATTAGCACAATAGATTTAGAAAAATTGGATGAAGCAAAGTCTCTTACCAATTAATGTCTGAATCGTGCCAAAATTTAGGAGAAAATGACCTTATTAAACCATGTATGAGCTATTTAACCTATCCCATATTGCACTATTCTTATATTAATTTTAAGTACAAGGCAATTATTGTTTGATTACTGGTACTGCTCAGACTAGGTACAAGTAGGTGATAATCAGTCATGATCAAGAATTTTTCATAGATTAACATTTTTGTCTAGATTGATGATAGATGTGCATATTTTATAATAAAAAGTCATTGTTTTCACCTTCTTTCAGTGGCAGAAGCTACTCCACAGTGCATATTATGACGGCATGGATGCTTTGTCCAAGGTGACACGTTATGTGCGAGATGTTTATGTTGGTTATCAGCAGGGAGTGGAAGACACTCAGGGAGAAGTAGAGGAGAATGGTCCAAAGAAAGAACATGAGTTTGAAGATCTTGGGGATGTTGGCAACCATTCTGATGAGATAGCAGTGCCAGAAAAGGTGCCATACACTTTTTTAGGTTTAGCTTACACAAATTTAATGCTACATGTACCATTAAAATGAACTTACAGGTAGAAGTAATGACCTAAATGTAGCTGGCGACAGAGACCCCAAGCTTGTAGCTCAGTAGTAGAACATCAAAGCTGGGAATCTTATGTCTCCAGATTGATTTATCATTATTATTTTTTGCTTTGATTTGTTCGTTTCCTTGCACCTGTGACAAGACTGAACGTCACACTTACATGATGATGTAGTTTCTAATTTGAAATTTAAGGATCATTCTAATGCTCCCTCGAGTAACCCTGGAGAAAACTTGAAAAAGCTTACTTTGTTCAGCATTGTTGATGCATATATCTTATTAACCAAGCGCGAGGGCCGTACTGGGAGAAAATCGGCCCAAGGTCTTGACAGTATGGACCGAGTGCAGCGAGATCTGTACAAGAAAGACAGAGGGCCGATATTCTTCCAGTGTGGTCCTGAGCAAGCTTGGTTAATAAGAGATTTATTATACGACTGAAGTTCAAAGGGACACAAGTGCGGTATCATTCGGGACCATTCGGGACAGTGCCCGGTCCAATACTTAGAGAATATTGGACCGGCAATAGAGCATTTTGATTGGTTGAATTCGGGACCATTCGGGACAGTGCCCGGTCCAATACTTAGAGAATATTGGACCGGCAATAGAGCATTTTGATTGGTTGATTTTAGTTATTGGCCCTCTGACTGCCCGAGTCATGTAATAATAAAGAGATATGGCCACTGTATGCATTTTTCATCGACGTATATAACCCACCACAAGAACAATGCCAATTTTAAACCATCATTACTAATCAAACAAAAAGACTTAATTTCTTAATCATGGTAAATTTATTTATCATTATGATTTTAAATATTCAAAGTACTTGTGCCTAATTGTATATACACAAGGAGAAACATTTTTAAGTGATAGAATAATTTGCACTTCTTTTCATGTGGAGGGAAGTAAATAATGTTCTTTCTACTTGAACAAAATGCAGCGAGATCTTGGTGAGGTTCCAGAGGTGACACGAGAAGAACCAATGAGGCTCAATGAATGGCAGTCATTCCTGGATGATGCTGGGCGAATCACTGATGTCAAGAAGCTTAAAAACAGGATATTCCATGGGGTATGCTATGTAAATTGCACCAGAATACAATGCAATCTTTCAGAAACTTTTTGTGCTCAATTGTAAATGGTTGCCACAGCTGCGCAAAAATGTTAGTAGTCCCAGGTAAGCATGATAGCATTTAGTCAATGCTTTCTGGAAAGGTATATTGCATGCATTACTCTCTGCCTGAAAGAGACTCCTCTTCCTGCCTGCTAAATAAAGCTGCAATTTCACAATGGAGAGCTGGTATGCAGAGTATTCATCAGAACTGAACTGATGGATTCTGTGGGTGATTCTTGATCAGTCATGTACCAATGCAGGGTTTAGCTAAGATTTGACAAAAAAATAATAAATGGGATTGTAATAATAAAAAGTAAAAACTGCTCTATTTCTAGAAGCAGTGGGATGCATGGAAAATGTCCAAAAAAAATTAACTTTTGAATGATCCAGTATGTTTAAGAAACACAGATGAGAGCATGTCGTGGGAAAGTGATCCTTAATTGGACAGGACCCACATCAATAAATGCACGGCATAGGGATAAAGTTTTTAAGTAGCAGCTTTATTATTCAATTAGAAGTCTCCTAGCTACTGGTCTTTGTGGTCAACATAGCAAGAAAAGAAATTGTTGACTAAAGTCAGTCAGCAATTTCATGACCCCTTTTTTCACAACAAAAGATAATTAATACTTGTGACAATACTGATAAAATTAATGCAAAACCACCTTGTATGCAAACCTGCATGCTATAAATTATGTTAGATACTAAAATGCAAGTTTAAAGGTGTTATCAAAGGACCCCACTCCTCATGGAAATTGCATTCAAGTTCTATTATTATTGGAATTGTTATTTGCCACTTAACATTTTTATATCTCACTTCTCATATGAGTTCTTTTGGTTGTACCCTTTTAGGGCATCGATGAATTGATACGTAAACCAGTCTGGCAGTATCTTTTGGGGTACAAGAAGTACGGTTACACAGTACGGTCACAGCAGACCCTCTTTAGAGGGAAGGAGTAAGTGGATAAACCTTATGATATTAATATTTAATTGGTAAATACAACTTACTAACTCTTTTGGTAGAGTGGTCAAGTGAAGGTACATCTATGCAGTCAATTTTCAACTTGAAGGTGTGCACGTAGCTTCAGAACAAATTGTGTTTGGTTACTTTATGGTTGCCAAATAACAAATTTCTTACAATGTAAGGACATTGTAACATAGCAATACTGTGCTATTTTGAAAGTGAACTTGGATATGGATGAATGGAAGTTCATGTACAACTTGCCTTTTGCACTGAGGGTAAATGTAGTTGAATTTTGATATAATTATTTTTTTAGTCAATGGAATCAGAAATGTTTCGTTAAGGACCTTTCTCCTTCTTTATGCCAAGTTTATTCATTCTTGATTTTTTTTCCCTGAAGGGAAGAATATAAAAGTATGAAGTGGCAGTGGCAGTCCATGACCAAAACACATGAAAAGAACTTTTCTGAATTTAGAGAAAGAAAGCATCTTGTAGGTAAGGGGGTACAAAATGTAATGGGAACCCTTCATTCTCTACACTTTTGTATTGTTTGTACAAATTATTGAGTTTATGTTGCAAGCATTTACATACCACAGAAGCACACTGATGAAGCAATCATCTTGTAACCCTCATTCTGATGTACTAAAGATGAACCATCAGTAAGTTGGCAATTGAATATAGTTGTTTGTTTCAGACACTTAACTGACTGACAAGGAAAGCTAGACTTTTCAGTTTGTTGGCTTTTGCTTGTAAATTAACCCTTTAGCTCCCAGAAGTGATGAACATAAACCTTCTCCCCATAATTCCCATACTTTATCCAGCAAACAGGTAATGAGAATACAAAAACTTATCAGGTAGAAGTTCATATTCTGATCTTGCAACAAATTCTCATAACCAATTTACCAGGAAATTTGTAGCAGCTGGAGGGGAGAATTCACGATCAGATCTTGGGCGTTTAAGAGTGAATGGGTCTCCTATGGGGGACTCTATGGGGCACCTGAGCCAGCAATGGAAGGTTCATAATATTGTTATAAAGCTCTTATTGAGAGTTACAGTATGGCATCGTCTCATTTTTAGCATAATCCTTTTTAATGATTTTATATGCAGTTAGCTGTTCAGTAAATAGGGGAAGCTATGACTAGTTGTCATTTTTCTTTTTGCTTTACCTTAAGGTCTGAATTTGATGAAATCAGTGTAGGGCTGTTTAATCATGTAAGAGACATAAATTATTATAGGTGTTCTTTTACAGACAAGGATGTTACACGAACAGACAGGCTACATTGCTTCTACTCTGAGGCCAACCATTCCAATGTAAAGAAACTTTAGGATATTCTCCTCACTTACTGCATGTACAACTTTGATCTTGGTAAGTTTTTAAACATTTTGCTACATGTTGCTTCTAAACTTACATTTGCATCCTCTATTTTCCATGTTTTCTCTGTTTTCTAAGTCTCCCCCTTTCTTTAAAGGATCAGTTGGCTCTCCAAAAGGAAAACGCTGCAAAAACTATGTATCTGAATAAGGCATATTATTGGATTGGTGTCTGCAATGAGTGGATGTTATGATATCTCGTTCCTCCCAACCTTTTCAGCTCACTTCTTTAGTTTGTCCCCACTTTAGACGTCTCGCTAACTTTGCGTGATAGGAAGTGAAGAACAATAAAATTAATAATAGCAGAGAACTTTGCAGCTTGTCCCACAATCTAGACATGGGGAAGTTGTTCTACAATCCATGAATTCATCATCTACTTTTCAGGTTATGTACAAGGCATGAGTGACCTTCTTTCTCCAATATTATTTCTGATGGAAGATGAAGTTGAGGCTTTTTGGTGTTTTGTTGGCTTCATGGAAAAATTGGTAGGTGTAGATCCGTGTGGCGCAGAGCTCCAAGTTATAGGACCGTACCGGTCGCCATAACTGCGACATAAGGTGTTTCAGTGCTAGCGACATAAGGTGTTTCAGTGCTAGCGAAGAGTGCGACAGAAACGAAGCCAAACATTAATCTTGTCTGAACGTGTGAAGAAACAGAAACAACCATTTTCCATGACAAAAACAAATGGGATTGTAATGATAAAAAGTAAAAACCGTTCGATTTCTTGAAGCAGTGGGACACATGGAAAATGTCCAAAAAATTTTAACTCTTGAATGATCCAGTACGTTTAAGAAACACAGATGAGAGCATTTCACGTGGAAGTGATCCTTAATTGGACAGGACCTACGTCAATAAATGCACGGCTTAGGGATAGAGTTTTTAAATTTTTTTAATTGCTATCATGATGGTGACCACAAAGATCAGATGCTATAGCATCTGATCTTTGTGGTCACCTTCATGATAGCAATTAAAAACATTTGCGACTACATTTTCAGTCAAAGTCGGCAATTCAGTCGTGACCTATTTTCGGCGGTCTTGTAAGAAGCTATAACGTTTTTAGTGTTTACGGTCCAAAGTTCAAAGTGCGATGAACATTTATGACGATCTTTTCTTGAATACAGGCTGATAGTTTCTAAAGAAACTGTTTGGGGCTGCGTCGGTGGGGGTAACGAAATAATTTGGATATATCAACAAAGTTGAATGGTAAATTGGCCACCGTAACGATTACAAAAGTAATCGTTACGGTGATCTTTTTTTGACACACACACTATTTTTTTTATCGCAAGATGTTCATTCTCCTTGCTCCTCGAGAGTTTTTTTCATTGTGTACCGATAGCTTTGCGCAAATGAGAGTTCACGGCATGGTTTGAGTGCAACCCTGGTAATTGTCATATAAAGTTTTGACTTCTTGTGTTTGCGACTTCTTTGTAGGCTCATAATTTTGATGAGAACCAAGAAGGAATGAAAGCACAACTCCATCAGCTAGCCGTGCTTCTCAAGTTCGTTGATCCTCATTTCTACAAATATCTTGGTAATTTACCGACTCTCGCAGTGTTTTTGTTTCCCTGTCCATTTTTATTGCAGCTAATTCGAGTGCATAACCATTTACCTCATATATCAGTGATGTTTTTGAAAAAAGCAATCTTTCTACTACGACTGAACTCTTGGGTTGGCCGGCAAAATATCGTAGTATTTACTGGGCTGTAATTAAGTTGAACAGTGCAAAGTTTGTTGACACCCAAGATCTCGTTCAGTTTTTATTTTATTATTTTTCCCACCAACACCTGCTTTCCCGGGCGCAAAATTCCTCTCAAGCCACCTCGCCAAAGGTTGCTTTGTGAGATTCAGAGCAATCTATTCAGAGGTTGACTCTAAAAATCCTTTGTTCTCTTTTTCGTCGACAGAGGAGCACGATTCTGGTAATTTGTACTTCTGCTTCAGATGGCTTCTTATTTGTTTTAAGCGCGAGTTCTCCTTTCCAGATATTATGACATTATGGGAGGTGAGTTCTTAAACCAAACATTTTGTTGGCCACATTGCTTCAAAACTAGACTTTATTGCAGGTTAGACCAAGGTCATCTTCAGAATTACAAAGGAGAAACCCGCTGCCAACGCGCCGGCCGACACGTTGGCCGACGCGTCGGTTGGATCAGATTCGTTACCTTACCCCAAATGGGCTTCCTTCCTTTATCAAGCACTTTTTCTTCTCTCCCTTTCACACCAGCTCAGGACATATTTCCTTTTAGTTCTGATCGCGAGTCGAACATTCATGTCAGAGTGTATTTTGTTCCTCAGACGTTGTGGTCGCAGAGCCTTTCGCCAAATTATCACCTGATTGTTTGCTTGGCGATCTTGGACAAACACCGTCGCGTGATTATGGAGAATAACTTTGGATTCACCGAAATCCTTAAGGTACATGAACCACGTAAGCAGAGTAATTGTCAACACGATTTGAAGCCGCAGAAGGCAAAGATATTGATTTATCTTATTATATGAGTATTCCATGTCGTTAATAAGATTATACTTCTCAGACCATTTGGGAATGGAAATCCATTCGTTGAAAGTGTAGTATGATCTGTCGCCCTTTCTGAATTAATCGTGAAAACTGTGATTCGATTTTACAAACCCTTTCCCAAACCTTCCTATAAAAAGCTGTCTTAAGACCGCTTTAAAATCATTGTTTAGCACATTTGGAGCTTGTACGATAAGGAGCGCCCATACCAACTTGGAAACTTTATTCTTTAGTGCTTTAGCTTGGTATACATGACCATCAGTTAATGTTATTGACTGTTTCTTATCTCAACAGTATATAAACGATTTGGCATACAATCTAGACGTCCAAGAAGTGTTAGTAAGAGCTGAACAAATCTGTGTCCAGTTGCTGGCATATCCTGATTTACCTGCAGAAGTGAACGACATACTCACAGGCAAGAACGAAGCCATGATGACACCAAACGTAGAAAAAACAGACCCCTATCTCATGGCACATAATAGACATGTGGTTAGTTTACTAGAGGGCTGTGGACTAGGCAAGGCTAGCTCGCCTTTACAGACCTCTAATCTTACTGCTTGTGACACTGACGAATCCATTCATGTGCTTCCTTCAGAAAATAGAAGCACTGAAGACAACAATGAAACAGAAATTAATGATTTGGATAGGGCCTCTGCTAGATCCTCCAGACCTCAGATTGAAGGTGAATCAAACGAAGCGCAAATGAATGACTCTGATGATGAAATAGTGGTGTTGTCTGAAGAGGCACAGAATATATTTTAATGGCTTAGGACGAAAGGGTACTTTGACCTTTTTGAAAAATGAGGAGATTTTAATGAAAATCGCAGCAGAGCCCCTCTGGTGAGACAGACCACAGCCCACAATATGACGGGAACTTCAGTCAAGGCTCAAAACTCCATAAGACTTGGCTGTGGTCAGAAATCGCTGGAACTCAACACAGAGTCGTGGAAGTTATTTCTCTATTTTTTTCTCGTGAACCTACTTTCCTACTTTTGAGAATGAAGTATGAACGCAAGATGAAGAGGAAGTTTTTAGTTAATTCAATGGAAACGACGAAGAGAGATTCTATGTAAAGTAAAAGTACTGAAACGGTCCTTAAAAACGCTGTGAAGGAATATCCTGATTCTTAAAAAGTATAGGTCAAAATGTTTATTTTCAGAGCCTATTTGCGGCATTCTGATATCGCCGATGTAAGTTTCACCCATGATCATAGGAGAAGATAGTGTTCATTTGTTTAATCAGTTTTGTGGGAAGTGAGTCGTGTATCTGGACAAAAGAATGGTTTTGAGTTAATGAGCACAGGTATTCCGGTATAATGACGTGCTTGAGGCTTTTTTCTCGAAAACTGTACACTCAGGCAACTGTTTACTGCAACAATCAAAGTATTCAGTACACCAACATGGTTAAAAATGTAAGAAAAGGTGTAAAGTAAATGACTGTGCTTTGATTTTTACAGTCCATATCCATTCTTAGTTCTTGCGATGTGTGTGCCCAAATCCAGCGTCGACACCGGCTTTCAAGTCATTCCGTGAGGCAAAATTTGCATGTCTTCCAGGGTGTGTGCGTACACCTCTCAAGCCCTTTTTCTGAAAGGGCTTCATTCCGTGAGGCAAAATTTGCATGTCTTCCAGGGTGTGTGCGTACCACCTCTCAAGCCCTTTTCCTGAAAGGTGATAAATCCAGGATTAATAAAACTGTAGTTTAGGTTTTAGTGTCACGTTCATTAGCCTGGGTGCAAAATTCCATCTCCTATGCTTACACGGGCTGCACATGCATATTCTGTGTTCCCAGCTCACATTTGCGTTTGATCAGACTCTCTTTTCAGTTCTCAAAGAGTCGTGACGTCTCTTTTTTACCCAGGTAGACATAAGTCGTCAACTTAAACCATTCACACGGTGTTCAAAATGATACAGTGCTTGCTTTGCTCATAACACAGCAGTCAAACTGAGGTGACACAACCCTGTCGTGTCTAAGCTTTAGTAACGGAGGTCAACCAAAAACTGATAGAAGATGATGATAACAACGATAATAACAATGCGAGAAATAATGATTGTATGTGTTCGCATTGCGGACCTGCTGTGTGGTCCCTCGGAGGAAAGCTCTGTTCCATTCTTCTGGTTTGCACAACATAGTTTCATATTTGTGCACGATCCTCGCAGTAAAGAGCACTATTTAAGCAATAGTGAAAAATCAGACCTGAAAAATTTCACGTCTGTACGGGATTCGAACCTCTGACCTCTGTAATACTAGTGCAGCGCTCTACCAATTGAGCTAACAAGCCAACTGGGAGCAGGTTATCAAATTAAATCAAAATTTGATCAACATTTTGATTTGATTAAATCAAAATTTGATTTATCATCTTACGAGTTTATATGGTATTAATTTGATGACCTGCTCCCGGCTGGTGTTAGCTCAATTGGTAGAGCGCTGCACTAGTATCTCTGAATTCAGTGGTTCGAATACCGTACAGGCCTGAATTTTTTCAGGTCTGATTTTCACTATTGCTTAAATAGTGCTCTTTACTGCGAGGATCGTGCACAAATACGTTTCTATAACCGCAGTTCAGAGATATGAATTTCATATATTCGTTTTTGTTTTAACATAGTTTCAAATGCGTTCACTTCAGGATGTTGAGCTCAAAAGATACACGGAGCAAGACTCAGGGGAAACTCTAGATTACTCCAAATTAATCCACAGTCCAAGAGTGAGGAGTTCAAAACACGTTCTGTCATGATTTGTAAGAATTTAAAGTGCATATAACACGAATTTTTATCTCTTGTTTCTTGTAGTTGGATATCTACAGAAAACGTTTCGAAGCCTTAAAAGCGCTGGAAAAATCTAAAAAGCATTTTTGTTGCTTTCAAAATACGCGCAATTTGCTTTCAAATTTGTCCCGGTCATCGCGCGGCCAAAATCGCACGTCATATCGTAACGTGACGTCACATTGTGTACCTCGATGGAACTTTCAGAAGAGTGGGACTCCAAGGAATCATTACAATCACTGGACATCTTTGCCTTTCAATGCACTATCTATCTACTACGAAGTACTGCAGAATCCTCTTAGCCAGCAGACCTTCGCGGCAAAGGCATACGATGTGACGTCACGAATAAGTTCAACGGCGATAAACTAGGTCCCAGTCTCCGGGACAAATTTGAAGGCAAATCGTGTATTTTGAAAGCAAAAAAAAAAAATGCTTTTTACGTTTTTCCAGCACTTTTAAAGCTTCGAAACGTTTCCTATAGGTATCCAACTACAAGAAACAAGAGAAAAAAATTTCTTGTCATATGCACTTTGAGAAGGTATGCAGTTACATTTTACGTCGAAGAAATATGGACGGCACTACCAACATATGTGGAAGTGCAATGGTTTTACATGTCCTCCTCCTCGGTGGATGTTTTCCAATTGGAAGAAAGCTTTCTTTCAATCTTTCGAATATAGAACATAGAACGGCTTTCTTTTTTATCTTGTTACGTGACCTGCTTCGTCGCTGGTCTATCGTTCATCGATCATGTTGCGTGACCTGTTCATTTGGTTCATGAATGAATATAATTAAACGAGCGGTTACCATGGAATTGATTTTAGGTTAAACTTGTAGCTTCTGTACAAGCTCCTTCTAGAAGCCAAAAAGCTAATCAAATGAGGGTTAGGATGTGGAAACGATACAAATTTCTATAGTATGGCCGATGTGATCGCTTCTCCGAGACAAGATTTACCTAAAAAGTTGCCTGCTTTGCCAGTAATCGAGCATCCTGCCTTGCGTCGGTCAGAAGAAAATGATCTCTTGCAGATCCGAGGGAACTCCCGCGAAGCAACTGCAATTTTTGAGGAAGGAGATGATTGCCTACCACCGTTAAGGCGGAGAACAAGCCAGCAAGGAAGACAAGGCCACTCCAGAGTATTAACATGGCCGTTAGGTAGGTCGAACGAGGAGAGAAAATCAGAATTAAACCTCTCCTTCGAACTCCAATCATTTTGAATGTGTTGCTTAGTGTAAATCAACAACATTAGCCGAAGTGTCTATATCACACCTGGTTAATGCTTCTTAGAAGAGAGTGTCTATTTAGGTGCGGAGTATGTGCTTGTAGTTCTAGAAGACAATCATTTTCTTCTTTAAAAGAACAGTTGAAAACATGAACACTCCTTGAAATGTTACCGTTACTCTGAGCCCAGGTTAAAAGTTTGGGTTAATTGAGGAAGTTCAACTCGATATTTGACACTCTTTATAGGACAAGGAAAAGGAAAGACTCGCAACATCAACAGCGGTGGTCCAGCATTGGAAAAACCTTCACATAAGCTCACAACTGAAGAGGTACATGTACGGCCGTGAAGATCTATGTCTGTGTAACTTGATGCAACAAGTTGTATTTCAACAAAGTGACTCCCTGACAAAATTTCAATTCTTGAATTTCAAAAGCCAGATTCTTTGAATAGAATTTAAGAATTAACCTCAGAGAATCAGGCTAGGTTCACAAGTGTCAGAAGTCAGAACGGGCATGTGTGCTTGAATGAGAAGGAAGGGGGGTGGAGTGGGGAAGGATCAGAAGTGATTATTTTGAAAGAGTACATGAAAGTGACCTGCATTAAGTACACCTCAGTTACTTAACTGTGCCAGCTCACCTTCCACCAGTCAGAGCTTTGCTGAAATTTTGGGGTTTACTGCTTGTGCAGCTCAAGTAACTGAATATTGCTAAATATCAGGAGTACAAAGTGATTTAAGGCAAGCCAAATTATTAATTATTATTCTTGAACTGAATAATTTATAATTGTTCGCATTTAGAGTGTAATTGTCTTGTCATGACATGAAAAGTATCCCTCTGTGATGAATTTTGCTTCTGTTAGCTTGAAGATCTCATTCGTGAAAAGTTGCTGACCAGGATTAGTGGGCTGCGTCAATTGTTTCGTTCTAATGATCCTATGGGCAAAGGGAATGTATCCAGGTACTGTTTGGTTTTATCTCTCAAAGGAAATCATTAGATTGTTAGATTATATTTAAATTGTTTTACCCACTGTGGTAATACATGAAAACAGTAACCTGGTCTTTTGATATTTAAAAGGAGAAAATTTGATTGTCATATTAATTAAGAAGTTAAAATTATGCTAATAATATACAGTATGAGTTGGCTTTTTAGATAAAATGTATAATTTTTCCTAATTTATAATTCACATTTTGTATTTCTACAGGGAAGCACTTTCAAATATTTTGTATCATTTATGTGGTTATCTTACATCTGAGCAAATCAGTGGTCTTTTAAAGAGGTGATTATTTTTTATTCAATTCAAGAGTACAACTAAATTTGTTATTTTCAAATTTTACATGTTAATGATGTTTTGCAGCCACATTTACCACTTACTAACTGACTTTGAGGTCTGTACTAAAAGTTATGGACCAAGATTTTTCCATAATTTCTAATTTATGGTCCAAGCATGTAGAGCATGGGCCATAAATCAGAGTAAAAAAATGTGGTTCTGTCAACTTACACTATGGACCAAGGAAACAAGTTAAGATGTTTTTTATATATTTATATACTATTATTTTTTATTATATATCTCTGGGTTCAAATAGAGGGGGAAGATTTGAGGAAATTAATTTACCAATTAATATATCTTTTACTAATTATTAAATATAATTTATAAGAGATATGACAAATGGTTTTGTTGTATGTATAATGAGATTTACACCTTAAAAAGAGGAGAAATAAGTTTTCATTGACAAGCTGTTCGAAGAAGCATGACATTTTTCATATGAGGAAAACAGTATGTCCAATCTAAGGAGCCATGTATCATGGTTTTTGTGTGAACAATATCACGACAGTCCTCCTTCAACCTTCACTGGCAGTGTTTTGCTTTTCAAACCAAGACTAATCTGAGGAAAGAATTGTCTCTTATTAAACTTCTGTGGAGGAATTTATGGTGCAAAAAAAAAAAAAGCATACATTTGAGGCAGTGGTTGCATCATTTTTATCGACAGGGCAATTTATATGGATTACATCTTTTGTAATTGACTAAATAAATTCTTTATTGAGCCTTTGACTTGAACCTGTTTAACAAAATTAATAATTGTCCGTGAAAAAGAAATTAATCTCCCTATGTATATTATAAACATAATACACCAGGAAAGGCTGACTGTATGGTATGTATGCACTGGTTAGTTTGTATCAGAAATCTCACTTGTTGGCAGGGGCCACTGGTTTAATTTGCAATACTACCAACATGTGCATATTAAATACCACACAGACAGAGTTTCCTGTATATTATATTTACATCATACTGATGTACTGGTAGGTGTGTATCATTAATTTTATGGTGTATATTTCTCTAGGCTTGGGCTGGACACACAGAGTACAATCTCATTTGAAAATTTTGTTCGCCATTTCCAAGACAATGAGGTTAGTTAATACCATATTACATACACCCAACTACGTTTTTTCACTGGAAATTCTGAGAAAGAGTTCAATATGTCTTCAATTGCTGCTTAATAGGATAAGCTAAGATTCATTGCCCTAAGAAACATTTATATGATAAAAAGTAAACTTCTTTAATCATTCTGTTGGTCTTTTTAATAATTAGCATCATTTAATTAATTAGCATCAACATACTGAACCCTTGGTTGAGAGGTGCATTGTAGCCTTAGACCCAGCAAGTACTTCTCATGTTTTTTCTTTATATAGGGCAACTGCTACTTTAGTCCTATCTTGCTACTCTAAAAAATTTACATCATCTACCTGTGTTTTCTGGGGTCTTTTTTTGTACAATGTAAAGGAAATTATTGGTAAAAATAAAAAAAACTGTAGTGTAATATATTGTATTGTACTTTCATTTAATATATGTATATAATATATA